TTCTTTATTTGAATTAATTGCTCCCAATGACAAGAGAAAAAAAAACTAAATCTAATCCACCAAGGGCACAAAACGGTTTCGTATTTTTTCGAAGAGATTTCACTGCTTATTGGATTTATATAACAGCAATATAAACAATGATCATTATTGTGGTATACTTACCTAACTGGTGGTGCCCATGACGATCCACTTGAAACGTGTGCACCCGGCCCCAATAAAGCCATATGGGATCTTTGCTAGGAATTTTTTTTTCTAAAAATAGATTTATTATGATTTTCCTAATAAAAATCTCGTGTAACAATAGCTCTTATAGTCATTTTGCTAGCAAAGATCCTATATGACCATACACAAGCCTCCATGCGGGACCCCACCACCCCCTCCAAATAAAGTAAGGTTGACCTAGACCAACCTGTTCGTGCTGGGAATGGACGTTGACTCCACTTTACCCAAGTGTGAGGCAATGTCAAAGGGATGCGATTGTAGACAATATGATGGGTTCTGGCCTCTGGGACAAGTAAAACTGAAACATTCTCATCGGTTCTATGACGACCGTGAGAAATGTTAAAGTAACGAAAGGTTGTGTAAAAAGGGTTTAAAGTTTAGAACAAAAATGGTTGGAAAACGATGGGAACAATAAGAAGAGTCGTGGTCTTGTGCGTGCTCTTCTCGCGGTCAAATCATTTTTAATTCTTTGTTCTATTTCTAAAATTTCTTTATACCCCTTAATATTATATAGAATGCTAGACCAATTTTCCTTGATTAACGATTCATCACGCTTAAATATAAATGAGTTATTGGTAATTATTATTACCATAATAAAGTGTATATATCTAGCAAAAAATCAGAAACTCTGTTAGACATTGCTAATTGAATTCTTAGGAAAATTCAATATTCCAATAAAGTAAAAAAAAATCTTTGAATTTTCGGATGGTTGAGCTGTAAGGCTCATGACCATGAACTAACTAAAAGGGTGGTTCGCTGGTTGAGCTGTAAGGCTCATGACCATGAACTAACTAAAGAGGCAATTTGCTGGTTGAGCTGTAAGGCTCACGGCCATAAACTGTCTAAAGGGGAGGCTTGTTAGTTGAGCTGTAAGGCTCACGACCATAAACTATTTAAGAGGTGGCTTGTTGGTTAAGCTGTAAGGCTCATGACCATAACTATTGAGATAAGAAAGGTGGTAAGGCTCACAATCATTATTTGAGAAAAAAACTTTTGTCACTCCAATATCCTGCGTTCTATAGCAACTTGTAAAAAATTCATCAGCTCAACAGACGTTTGCCATTAAACGAACTAACACTGACCTGTAATCGTCTAAACATGTGCTTCTTTTCAAATTCATTATAAGAGTTTATAACACCATTTTTAAAATTTTTTATAGCATCTTGATAATTCACAGGAAAATTCGTATGAGCTGTTAGCTAGTTGAGAATAACTACTTCATAAAAAGGCGTGTGTTTAAAGTATTCCATGCGACGTTAGTGTTACTATTTGTTGCCTGTAATGGGGTGTTCTTATTAACTAGAGGTCATCATTCAACTTTTCTGATATCGATTATCTATTTCCATGCACTGTATAATAGTTACGTTTTTGATGCAATATATTTATTAAAATCAAAAGAGTAACTTCGAACATTTTATAGCACGTGATAAAAAGTTCGAAGTTACTCTTTTGATTTTAATAAATACATTCATTATGAATTAATTCTACCAGAATTGTTTTTAGTAGAGTTACGAATTAATTGTTTCTGTACGTGTTTTATGATTCTATTTTCTTTAAGTCTTCTTAGTAACAGGTTTCTTCCTATTCGTTTGTTGTTCCGATTCTGGAAATTGCTGGCTACACGTAACTGATTAGTGATGTGTGACGCAACTCACGTGACCTGACGCAACTGCTCACGTGACCCTTAAAAACATATGTTTGAGTTGCGTCATGCGTCATGCGTCAGTGACGCAACATATGGTTTCGTCAGGTTGCGTCATGGTTTCGTCAGGTCTCATCAGTTGCGTCACACATCACTATAACTGATGCAATCATAAATGAAGAAGATTATACGTCATAGTATTTCAGCATCAGTGTATGCTGGAATAAGTCATATGATTAGTCAGTTAAGCATCGATATTAAAAAGCCTCATGCTTTTTTTATTTAAATCTACTAATGCTATATCGATATAATATCGATGTTAGTTATGCATTAATTTAAACACATTAAATAATCATGTTGCTAAGAATTTGTGTAATAACAGAAAATTATTAATATAATGTGAAATAGGCAATTATCTTAGTTTAATTAAAAATATACAAGTGTTTTATGAGCCGAAATGTTACAATTCATTAAAATGTTAGCATATCTTAAACCCAGTTCGTTCTCAGACGACATCCTGATGCCGTCGGAGAATAAAATGTGTTCGAAATTATAGAATATTTATTTGATGTAATATTTAGTATTTAATCATGGACAATTGACATTTAAAGTGCAAATTACAGACTCGTATGTACTTTATTTCTTCATAATGAAATCCTTTTCTTTCGATATTTAACCTATGTTACTTTGGTTTGAATAGAGTGAAATATTAGGCTAGAACAATGTTGTATTTTCCGTCTATAATATTCACAATCACACACTTAACTTTCAGTAATTAACTCGACAAACCGAAATTTTGAATAAAAGACTTTAAAGACCGACAGAGTTATTAAGTAAAAATTGAATTAAAGAGACTCGATGCATCTATAGTAAGTTTAAATAATGATGTACCTAAGAAATAACAAAAAAGTCGGTTGATCTAGTGAAAGAAAAATGATGTAAAATTAACAAAATAGATAAATGATATCCCTTATTTCTGATTAGCATGTAAGTGGGACATAGCAAGAGGAACCAAATAGACTTTCCCACCATTCAGGTGTATTTGCTAGCAGACTTAATAAAATTAAAAGCACTGTCATTATAACGCCACAAATACAGAACCACACATGGATTATCCAATGACTAAACACATCCGGTTCACCTCTCACATGAAACATATATGCAACAACATTGTTGAATGACCAAATGGAACATATTACTGTCAGAAATTTGCTCCGGCAGAAAAATCCGACTGGGCGAGTGAAATATGCTATAATTACTGCTAACCAAGGAAGTGCAACTGAAGCTAAAGCAGTAATTGCAGTGTGAGCTCTTCTGGTATTAATTATTACTGGTGAAGGAATTGCAACAGGTATTCGACCTCCTAATACTCCGGGCATTCTATCTACTACTCTTCCTTTCCTTATTCTAATATAAATCACAGGTAGTGTCCAAATAAATAATAATGGTATATATGGCCAATCCTCTAATGATTTATCTTCCATACATGGCCCTGCTGCTTTAGATATTCCTGCAAATATACCAACAAATATATAATATGCAGACACTAATGATGCCAGCCGATCTAATAAAGATGCTTCTGCTATACAAACACCCAAAATTCCAATTGTTGGATCTCCAGGCGGTAGGACTATATTCATAGCATGATGTCCAACAGGCCTGTAAGGAATTGGAGCTCCATCTAGAGCAAAATTAATTGCCGGGAGCCAGTATGCACACATTTCTGATGGAGTATTCATGATATTGCAAAAGTAAAATAGTCCTGTAAATGGACAACCAAGACATCGCGCAAACCATATTAGCTTCGCACATAAACTATTGTGCGGAGTTGCACCAATCGTTGTTATAGCTGGTAGTGAACCTAATACATATTGAGGTATAGGATTTTGCAAGTGACGTATTACTGTTAGCAACACAGGTTCTGTTGCCATTCTGTATTAGAAGTAGACAAAAAATAATTATTACTACGATTATAAATTGCTGAAGATAAGGCTGGCTTTCTCTTTAACACAATCGGTAACGTCCACTTTTGAGATGGTATAGAATATATTTAGACAAATAAAAATATGTTTAGAAATAAAAGAATAAAGGTCTTAAAATTTTATAATAAATAGTTACCATACCCTTCGTTTGTTGATGTTGCAAAAAATATTATTGAAACAAATCATTAATATCTAAATGAACTTACTATGTAGACATGTAACCATAATAATAAACAATGACATAACACGAACTGATAATGTTTGTTGCATCTTAAGGCGAAATGGGTGGTCATATTTAAAATATTTGCGCACAGGCTTTACGTTATCAAAAGTGTTGGCAATCAATTTTTTTAATTTCTTTTATTATATTTGATTAGTTTTTAGTTTTTTCACTTAACATATCTCTATGCTATCCTAGTTTGCACTACATTTAGTACAATTTTTTAATTTCTTTTTCGTTATCAGAGTTACGAGTTAATTCTACCAAAACTATGCTTACCAAAGTTACAAATTATATTCTACCAAAATCACGGTTACCAGAGTTACGAATTAATTCTACCAACATTATGTTTACCAGAGTTACGAATTAATTCTACGAAAATTACGGTTACCAGCGTTACGAATTATAATAGCACATGACCTTATCTCTGCCGTAAAATAGGCAGAGATAAAATCGTGATTAAGCATTTTCTCTTCTTTATTTATATTTGCTTAATTATTTTAGTCATTAATATGCTTGAGATCCAACATCAAGATACGATCTAAAATTTCTTCTCTTTAAATTTAGCATTTCCGGCCAATAAAGACTTAATTTAAAAAAAAAAGCTTAAAAAATTTGGAATTGAAAATTCTATTTGCACTCTTCGTATAAAAAATTGTGTAGTTTATGTGAATCATACCAGGAACGGAGTTTTCCGTAAGTGAAAACGGAGTGTATGGTTTACCAAAATGTTCCAGGATGTTCGTCTACAAA